AGCACAACCCAGGGCAGTCGGGGTCAGCTTATGCCCTACCCGGAGGGACTGGGTTCCTGTGCCGCCTTCTAGCCCCTGCAGGTCAGCCAGCAATCAGCCAGCTGGCAGGGCATGCAGCCCAGGAACACAACGGGCCCATCTCGCAAGCTTTTGTTTCCATAACTGCCTAAAGTTCTCTCAGGCAACAGCTTTGCTCCCTTCCCCAACTGCTTTTCATTCAGTGTCCATGATGAAGTTAACCCGGCGCACCTCATACCGGGGTACGTGGCCCTGAACACTTCCTGCTGCATCCTTCCCTCTTCCTTCCAGCACAGGCCTGGGTGCCCCTGTGGCTCCATACAATACTTGCTGGAAGTAAAAATAATACAAAGGAACCCCAACATCCACAACGGCCAGGTTTTGCCCCCATCCTCCCTGCGCCCAGAGGACTTGCCTTCACCTGCTTTCTTTCCGGGACAGATGGTCTACCAGGCTTGTGCCTCAAGATATCCAGCTCAGCGGCTGGGTGACAGCCCCCCTGCTCCCTATAGGCAGGAGTCTCCAGCCCACTGCCTAGCCCATGTTGCTCTCCTGTCCACATCCACTGGCCGGCTGTCCACTCTCCCAGTCTTCCTCCTTGGGGAGCAGGGCAAACATGTGTGCTGCCAAAAGCTGCCCAGGAATTACTAGAATAATCACTAGAGTCCTGACCTCTTTTCCCGCTCCTCCTACACACACACACATTCTGGGGTCCAAAGCTGATGAGCGTGTCAGCTTCTCTAACAGCCTACAGAGAGTTGCCCAAGTTCCCCCACTCACTAGGGGCAGAGCCAGGCTGGGCGTGTTACCTAAAGCAAATTCCAGCCTCCAACGACTCAGCCTGGCTGGCCTCCCTGAGCTTATGGGTGTGCTGGTAAACGGGCAGAACAGACAGAGGGGCCAGACCAGCAATAGGAGGGAGAGGAGGGGAGGCTGGAAGAGCTGGTGGTAGAGGGTTCTGGAAGAGGTCTCCTGGGATGCTCCTCACATGTCTGCCTACAGATAGCTGGGTCTAGCCTCAAGAGCCTTCCTGACCTCTCAGCAGAGGCTCAGGCTTGGCCTTATTCCTGGAGCACTTCCCCATCAGTCCCCTTGGTAGAGGTGCCAGGGTTCATCCTCAAGAAAGCAGCATGACTCCCTGTCACTTCACAGTCAATATTGACTCAGCCGAAGAGGGAAGCCCACACCGGGAGAGATGAGGGGAGGGCAGGAGTAGGTGGCACACCAACTACTGACCCTGCAGTCGTCCAGGGTGCCTTCCACCGTGTGTCCACCCTGGGGAGGGGTGGGATAAGAGCAGAGGGCACTGGAAATGGAAGCCCTACAAGGCGGATAAAGGCTGGCGTGATGGTCAGAATGGGGCCTGGGGTGAGAGCTGCCTGGCCCAGCATCTGCAGTCAGCATGAAGCTCTCCTTCCAGGTGGTCTCGGGCTGCACTGAGGGTCTCAGAGGGCCCTGGCAGTAGAGTTCCCAATGCTCCCAGTGCCTCTCCTAGTGGAAACAGGCCAGTATTTAGCTGGTCACAAAGTGCCAGCAGTCTGTAAGGTGGGGTGACAGAAACGTGCCCAGCCGGCTCCTGGAGTCATGGATGGCTGGTGATGGAATGGCTCAGCTAGGGGACAAGTTGCCACAAAACACGCCCCCTACTCTCCTAGCCAGGGGAGGCACCCGAGCGTGGACTGAGGACATTCTCCTCCTCACTTCCAAAAACTTTGGGGAAATTCTCCAGTGGGCCCCATGGCTTTTAGGGTAAAAGTAAGGTCAGTAACTCCTACTTTTTTCTTAACCCCACAGGACTCTCCCCTCACCAGAGCAGTAAAAGAAAGCTCTCACCTATGCCCTGGAGGTTAGACCACCCCCCATCCCAGAAGATCCTGCTGAGTGAGCACCTTGCAGGTGGCACAATCACCCAGAAGCCCTCCCCTGCACCTGATGGGACAGCCCCTGGGACACAGCTGTCTCCTGCCACTCCCACTGTGGCACCAGCACTGTGGTGGGGAAAATCACTGGATGCAAGAAAGTCAATGGTTGGAACAAACGGAATTTCTTTGTCCTTTGTAAAAGTCAACACGTGATCGGTTACTGATTGGGATGTAAAATAAAACTAAAAATAACAGCACACTGAGTCTGGCTGAAGGCTCAGCTCACCTTTAACACAGTCCAAGTTCGGTTTATCAGATCTCAAGGAGCAGCTAGGCAGCAAGTCAAACACAGGTGAGGGAGGAGGTGGGAGCTGCCAAGGGGGCTCTGTCCCACATGCAGCCCTTATGGCAGCGGAAAACCAGCCTGCCAGGGACTCTGGTGCAGCAAGAAACCACAACTAGAATCCTGAGCCCACATCCTGGTCCACCTAGGTGAGGTGGCCGCTCACTTCTCTTTTTACCTCAGTGTCCCCATTAAGTCATCAGAGACTTCTAGCACATCCTCGAGTTCTAAGGAGGCTGTGGAAGGTGGACCTAGCCCCTAGAGGTAAGGGTAAGCAGCGAAAGATCCCACCCATGCCACAGGCCATTGGATCCTAGCAGGACCCACCACTACACCCCCTGCCTCCACCAGCTTATCCAGAAGGGAAACTGAGGCAAGAGTCCTAACTGGGCCCCCTCACTGGCTCTTACTTCCCCACCTTCCGGCAAGGCCTGGGGCGGTGCCAGGGAGTCTGCAGATCAAGGGTCAAAGTCGGTTGGTTAATTACAACCTCTCCCCCTTGGAGGCGCTGGGCAGAGCATTCCGTGTATCCCCGCCCCACCCCCAGGGCCTGGGGAGGGGGAGTTTCGAAAGAAGCGGCTTTCCCCAGACCAAACATGTTGTTGGGGGTGGGTGTAGGCCAGAAAGAGCAGAAGTGTTCTCAGGGCTTTGAGAGGAAGATGCCACTGGAGGAAGAAACAACTCGGGTTACTCATTCAAAGGTGACTCCGACGCGCTCAAGGCGTCTCCCAAAAATAAATTGGGTGCACCAGCTTCCCCAGGGCTCGGTCCCCTGTCTGCGAGGTGGGCTCCTTAAAACGTCTTGCGCTCGACTGTGCCCTCTGCAAGGCTGAAGGACATTTCTAGCAGAGTTGAAACTCAATCCCGTCTTTATCTTAAGGAAAAACCGGGACGCAGCGGACACCTTTCCCATTCACGGTCTCGCCGGCCTGCTTGGGCCCGCCGGGGACCTTCCAGGGAAACTCGAAGGTGGGGTCCTTGCGCTCCCTGTCAGCCCGAAACGGCCAGCAGTGCAGGAGAGGCGGAGACCTAAGGAAGCGGCTTAAGCTCTGAGGCTTCGCTTACCATTTCGCACAAGTCTTGGCCGAAACTCCAGCTCGCTCCATGCCCGCCCCCCCCAAAGTGGCATCGCTCCAGTGCCCTCTTCCAGCCTCATGAAAGTCCCAGCTTTCCGGATTTACGACGCGAGAACCGAGGGTCGCCTGAGCGGTGACACACCCCGTTGCCTCCCATACGCAGCTGCTTGGACGGGAGGAGGGGAGGCGG